GGAGATGCTATAATTGATGATAAGATATTGCTATGGAGTTAAATGACTGTTCTCAAGTTTTCCACAGGTGCTAAGGTGAAAAGACCAGAGCATTGTGACCCAATTTTCATTCATCAGCTTTATCCCATAAACACTATTAAACTGTATGATATCTGGATACAAGTTTCCTGGCAAAATGAATTGAAGATGATACTAAAAGACAACTCTCCATTTCAGAACTTTCCAGAGGAGCTAGGAATTTCATTCAGCACATACACAGTAAAGTTTTCCAGAATGCTCTGTAGAAGCAAGGATGTTCATCTCATGTCTTTTGGATATGTCACCAGGAGGAACGAGTACCTGAAGAAGGACATCATGCTTGGTTAAGTAGAGGGTTAGAGAAAAAGAGGAAGACCCTCAGTCAGATGGATTGACCCTCGGCAAGATGGCTGCAACAATGAACTCACAGACAGCGACAATTGTGAGGCTGTTACAGGATCTGACAGTTGGATCAAATATTTAAAGCACTGCATTGAAATAATCCTCTTAATGAAGGAGCTGTGGTTAATGAGTCGAGCTGCTAATCTCATGGTCAGCAATTCGAAACTACCAGAGGTTCTGTGCGAGAAAGATGAGGCCTTCTGTTCCGTAAAGTTTTACGGCCTCAGAAACCCTATGCAGGGTCACTGTGAGTTGAAACTGACTCCACAGCACAAAACCACCACCACCACCACCACCAATGAAGGAAAGTCAGTTCCAGAAGAAGTCCTTCATATGAAATCGATGGCCCACAACTGATGATGCTATACCTTCCAGATGCTGATTGGTTCTCAACACTGAGGCTACCCAATCAGGAGGCAGAGTAATCAGCTCCTTGGCTCCTATTATTTGGGATGTGGGTAGAAGAGGCTCATGGGTCTCTTTGAGAGAGTCTTGTTTGCTCTTCTCCTACCTGTGCTCTTCCGTCCTCCAGCATGGTGTGCTTGTGGTACCCTGGGGGCACCTGGATGCTGACACTGATGGTGCTGAGCCCACCACTGGCTTTGTCCAGGGACACCCAACGTAAGTGCACACCTTGGGTGGTAGCTATTAGGGGTAGGGAGGGGGTATGGTAAGGCAAGAGTTATCTTTGTCACTGTGTCTAAGCATTGGGAGGTCACGTGCTTGATTGTCTATATTTTTCGTATGGATCCCAATTTTTTTGCACAAGAGAAGTGTGGATGGTTCTCCAACCTATGAGAGCCACTGAAGGGACAGAAGATGCTTCTTCTCCACCTTCCTCCAACATCACCTGTCCAGAATTTCATTCCATTCCTTCATGGTCATGAAAGGATTTGGAAATCATGTCGCTAAGATCATTTTCCATGCAACTGTCCCCTTTAGTATGTTGAGATTTCTCGATAAAGGAAAGGTTCCTCTGCATTTTTATGGGGAGAGAAGATATTAATATGTCCTCGATGAGACTGGTGACGTTAGTACACTCCCTAATATGTCCCCCTCCACTGTCACCCTCATGCTCATTGAGTGTAGACTTACGGCCATGTACTGAACATGAGTTCTGGTCAGACAGAGTTTGAGTTCCGTGTTGCCTCCCTTTCCTGTGGAAGCACCCTTGGGTGGAAGGAAAGCAGATATGGAACATCTACGGGGTGTTCTTTGGCGACTTAAGGAACTGAGGACACCTTCTGCAAACCCTTCTGTGGGTTAGTGTTCATCATGAATATAATTTAAATGTTTACACACTATCCACTTCTTCTGTGTCTTCACATTCTCTGTCCGGAGCCCACAAGAAGGCACTCAGCTAGCCTAAAATAAACTATGCAAAGTTTTGTTTTTCTAGAGAAAATAAAAGAGTAAATATCAGAAATTTCATATGGTTCAATTTATATATCTTGAGTAGGGACACAAAGAGATAGTGAAGATGGTTTACATTCCACAGGGTTGAAAGCCAAAAAGCAAGTCTAGGAAATCATAGGTCCCTTTGCGTCTTGGCCTAGATCACATGGGTTCATTCATCGTTCCCTCCATTCCCCTAAAGTAGTTATGTCTGCTTACCTCTCCTTCTCTCCTGGTTCTTCACGATTCTTTCCCAAGCCAACGCCATTCCTGACAATGAATGAAATATTAAGGAATTTCCCCCTCTTTCTTGAAATTGCATTTTTATGACCTAGAAATGCTTCTTCCAACTAGAAAGAGAAGAAAGATGACACTTTCTCTGAATTGTCTCGGGGAGTTGAAGAGATAGAGTGTGTATCAGAATAAAGGAGTATTAGAGCTCGAGGCTGTTCTTGATTTCCACATAGTAATCAATCCTCAGATAGCTGTATTTATTCATTTAGATTTATTCATTGAGATGGCGCATTGTGAAGAAGACACGCCTACTCTCATATAACTTACTTCGTCACAGGGGATGAAGACAATATAACTGTAAATGTTGAACAAAGTGACAATTTCATAAGGTCCTAAGTCACCTGAAGAAAAACTTTCAGGTTGATGAGACAGAATGCTGGATTCACACTGTTTTGTTGTTGTTGTTGTTCTTAAGTGTCACCAAGTTGATTCCGACTCATAACAACCTGGTACAGGGTTTCCAAGGAGCGACTGGAGGATTTGAACCGGAAACCTTGGAGTTAGAGCAGTCCAGTGCTGATCCCACAGAGGCATGCCAGGGCTCAGGAGTCACGCTATTGCAATTCAAATGAAAGTGACACTTAGCTGAGACAGAAATGATGAGAAGAAACCAGCCACATGATTGAAGACCTAGGGGACAATGCTCCAGGGAGAAAGAAGTGCAGAAGAAAGGTCTAAATGATAAGATGTTTGCTGTGTTTAAGGACGAGAAAGAAGGCTGTAGCATAGTGAGCAAGCTGGGAGAGCAGCATACGATGAGGCTGGAGAGGGATCAGGAGGCAAGTCATTTAAGATTCTGACAGCCACAGTAACTACACTGGATTATATTTGAAGAGGTAGGTGAACTCACTGGAAGATTATATGGAGAAGTTATTTATATTTGCTTTTTAAAAACAACAACACACAACTCTAGCTACAGTATGGAGAATGGATTGTAGGAACCACCAATGGAGCCAAAGATATCATTTAGTATCATAGTAGTAGAATTCTACAGGGAAGACATGCTTGTGGCTTCGTTGAGTGTTGTAGTGACAAAGACAGAGAAAGGTGGACAAATTTGGGATAGATTCAGAATGGTTTACTGGGGGCAACACCAGCTGATCCATAGGAGAAAGATGAAGCTTTCTGCTCCCATAAAGATTTACAGCCTCAGAAACCCCGTACAGGGTCGCTATGAATTGGAACCAACTCCACAGCACATAACCAACCAGCCAACCAACCAACCAACAATGCGAGTGGTGAGGAAATGCAGAAAATCAAACTTAGCGTCAAGAACTTTGTCTCGAACAACTAGATGGATGTTGACACTCTCTGTTGAGACAGGGATGATCATCAGAACACATGGCTTGGAGTGGGAGGCTATCAATAAGTTTTGTTTCAATGAAGTCTGAGAAGTCATTTTGACATTTATGACAGGTTGTCAAGAGGTCAATTAAATATAGAAGATGAACTTAGGAAGAGTCTAGGGCTGGAGATCTAGAAGCTGGGGTCATCAACACATGGGTTGTTACTCAATGTTTGAAAGTACAGGAGATTTCATAGGGAAAAGACAATATGGATAGAAAACAGGAAGAGGGCCAAAGGCTGAACACAGGCACCTCCATATTAAAAGTTGATCTAAGAGGAGTGAGTCATCAAGGATAATGAGAAGGAGCTCTAGAGATGTTGAGGGAAACCAAGGGGATGAGATGACTCACAGAAGCTAAGGAAAGTCCATTTGTTTGAAGAAGGAGTGAGTGAGCAGCTATGGTGAACATCAGTAAGAGGAGCAGAGATGAGAACATGCCAGAGACGTGAACGCTGGGTTGGGTGTGCTTGAAGTTGTCATTGTTCATGGTAAATCCAGATTGGGGATGAACTGTTGGAGAAGAGAATAGGAAGAGAAGACAGGAACTCAGGATTGCAGATGCCTATTTTCAGTAGCTGATCTCAGGGAAGGACCGTATTCTGGAGTTAGAGAATGAGCAGGAATTAAAATGTAAGAATCAAAGGGCCTTGGAGGAAGCTGTGAGGAGCTGAGAACCAGAGATGTTTAGACAACAGCAAGAAAGCACTAGAGTGTCATTGCATGCCATGAACGGTTAGGTACAAAATCATGAGTTCACACAACATTACTAGTGACCTAAAATGCACCCATCACTATCCTAGGTGAAGAGAACAGAATGAAGAACAAAGCTAGTCTGGTCTCGCTTGGCATGGTCATGTCTGCAATTAGTATACACACAAGACCTATACATGGAAGGGTTGGCCATTCCTTCACAGGTATGTGGATCGGCTTCAGAGAGGCCTTGAAAACTCTCTGGAGCTGTTCTACTCTGCACATACGGATTTTCCATGAGTCCAAATCATCTTGATTGCCATTGGTTTTGAGTTTGGTTATTGATTGGGAACATTGGTAGAGGTAAAGGGATAACAGACCAGGACACACAGATGACAGAAGTGTCGTGGTCCAGCAGACTACTGAGGCCTGAGTTAAGGGGGAAGGTGATGATCAGTAGGGAGTCCCTGGGAGTCCAAAAGACTAGCAGTCTGAGAAAAGACTGGTCATCTATGTCCTCAGAAGAAAGGACTGGTTATCTAGGTCTAAACAAGTCAGCCATTGAAGACCCTATGGAGCACAGTTCTACTCTGACCCACATAGGGATGGTATGAGTTGGACAACTGATTTGTAGTCAACTTGCTTGATTAGGGTCAGGCAAGGGGATAAGACTCAATGGAGGTCTTCATTATGACCTAAGAACCAAGTGTAAGAAACCATACTGTTACCAAGACAACTCAAACAAGCTAAAGGCTTTCTTTCCAATGGGTTGTCCCATAGAATGTTCAAGTGTTGTTAGGATCTAATGGGAGTCATGGGGCCCAGGGGTGGGGACATAACAATGGAGTCCAACATGATATCCAAGAAGAACACCTTGGTGCAGCTTCGTGTGGTTGTGTCCACAGGTGAACCCTGGGCAGCAGCGCCTTTCAGAGACTTCCCAAACTGGGTTCCAGCCAACATGGCGTCCTCTTCCACGCCATCTCTCTGGCCACTAGCCTACAACAGTGGACTGGAAGAAATGAACATGGAGCCCACTAACAGCCCCGGGAACTACACCCAGAGCAAGACGCTGGCCAGGCTCACCTTCCCCATCACAGTTGTCATCAGTCTCTTTGGGCTCTTCTGGAACGGGACCGTCCTCTGGCTCCTGGGTTTCCGCATCAAGAGGAATGCTTTCTCTGTTTACGTCCTCAACTTGGCGGGAGCAGATTTCACCTTCCTGTGCTGCCAGCTCTTCTTCGTCTTGACGGACATTCTGACAGGTTCCTATGATATTTCCTTGACAATCCTTCACTTCAAGGTCAAGTGGCACTTTTATTCCACCTTCCCCATGGCTAAACTTGTGGCCCCGATAGCGTTTTCCTCCTACACCATGGACATGAGTCTCCTGGCCGCCATCAGCACGGAACGCTGCCTGTCCGTTCTCTGCCCGGTCTGGTACCGCTTCCACCGGCCCAAACACCTGTCCACCATCGTGTGTGTCCTGCTTTGGACCAAGTCCCTGTTGGTGTGCACACTGACAGGAGACAGCTGTGGTTTCCTGTCCAGAGGCTACAGTAGGCAGGCCTGCTACCATCTCACTGTGGTCAGTGCAGTGCTGATCCTCCTCTTGGTCTCTGTGATGTGTGTGTCTAGCTTGACTCTGCTCCTCAGGGTCCAGTGCTCCTCCCAGCGACACCACCCCACAAAGATCTATGTTATTATCCTGCTCACTGTCCTTGGGTTCCTGCTCTGTGGCCTCCCTTTTGGAATGTACTGGCTACTTCTAGACTGGTACCAAACCCTACTCCAGCCCATGAACCTGCCCTACTATCTCATTGATATTCTGTCCTGTATGAACAGCAGCGTCAACCCCATCATCTACTTTTTTGTTGGGAGTTTCAGGCGGTGGAGGAAGTGGGAGTCCCTGAGGGTGGTCCTGCAGAGGGCTCTCAGGGATGAGGTGGGGGTGGAAAAGGAGTCTTCCCACACAGGCACCATGGAGCTGTCTGTCTGACATCTGTGAAGAGCTCTCTGGAGATCCTCCTCATGGGTTTGCTGGTGGTCTCCTCCTGTCCCTCCTAAAGCTATAATCATCTTCCAAATCGCACATTCCAACTCCCATGAGGAGGAGAAAGATATCCACATAGTAACCGAATACCACTGGGAAAGCTTACTTGAGAAGACAGTGTAAAGTCTCCAAACTATACTCAATCTTATTTCTAAGAATGTTTGATGTACGTTTTCTTTGTGAAAATATGGAGTGTGACCAAATCCAGCCTCCTCCACCCTCCCACACGTTTGTGGGAAGTTACAAAGTCCTTCCTCCTCTCTCATAAATTCTGTTCCTGTTCTTCTTAGGTATCGTCAAATCCATACCAACTCATGGCACCCAGTTGGTAGCAGAGTCAAGCTAGACACACCAGAACAAAACACTGCCCAGTTCTGTACCATCCTCAACAATCTTTGCTATGTTTGAGTCCATTGCTGCAGCCACTGTGCCAATCCATCTCCTTGGGGGTCTTCCTCTTTTACACTGACCCTCCACTTTACCAGGCATGATGTCCTTCTCCAGGGACTGGTCCCTCCTGATGACTTGTCTAACGTATGTAAGATGAGTTCTCACCATCTTCATTTCTAAGGAGCATTCTAACTGTACTTCTTCCCAGACAAGTTTGTTCATCCATCTGGCAATTCGTGATATATTAAATAATATTTTTACCAAAACTCGAATTCACATGTGTCAGTTGTTCCTCAATCTTCCTTATTTCATAAATAAATAATAGACTTAATATTAATTGTAGTGCTCGTGTAGTGTTGTGTTGTAGGATAAACACGGGACTGTTAATCCCAACATTGGTGGTTCTAACTCACCAGTCACTCCTTGGGAACCTTATACAAGGTTGTTGTGAGTAGGAACTGACTCGATAGCTCCCAGCAACAAGAGCACTATTAACTACCACTGTGTGTCCACATGTTACTGACATTCACTTAAAGAATGTATCTGGTGATATTTTAGCGTGATATGTTTGTTCCCCACAGCTCTGCACAGATATTCCCCCCAGGTCTGCACAGATGTTCCCCACAGGTCTGTACTGATGTTCCCCACAGGTCTGTACTGATGTTCCCCACGGGTCTGTACTGATGTTCCTCCACAGGTCTGCACAGATATTCCCCCCCAGGTCTGCACAGATGTTCCCCACAGGTCTGTACTGATGTTCCTCCACAGGTCTGTACAGATGTTCCACACGGGTCTGTACAGATGTTCCTCCACAGGTCTGTA